TGTAAGTTAAAGGTAATATATTTTTACAACTAATTTTAGAAGTAAAATAATGTATAGTGTACAACCTGAAAATACATAATTATCTTTATTAGTTTTATTTTATTTATTTCAATGTCTATCAGTTTTAGTTTTAGTTTGATAAATATGAGAAATCACCTAATAAGACACTGTAAATTAGAAATCAAAGATTTGGTAAAGATTATCTTCGGCATTTCTATCTTCACTTTCATTCATATCTTCATCAATACTCTTTGGGATTTTCTAGATTTTGAGTTTAATATTTAAAATACATCAAATTATTCGGAATTGGCATTTCAATGTTATTTGTAAAAATCTACCTTCAAATTACAAAAACTTTATAATACGGCCCAGAAAAAGGTTCAATTAAAATACCAGCAAAAATGTGATTTTGTCATTGCCAAATTCAATTACCAAATAGAGTAATTTTGTATAAAATAATTTTGATTTTTGACAAACCAAGCTACTGAAAAAGTTACGATGGTTAAATGGCATTTTGCTGGAAATAACTATGTTAGAAATTTTTCTGTGTTAGGTATGTTCGCCGCTCAGTCTCCGGAGAGACATAACTGAATAATCAACAGTTCAAAGAATAATCCAAAGATTTGAAACAAAGGCGAATGACATTGCTAAAGACAATTGATCAAATGTAAGTTTGAAGAAAAAAATAATAAATAGGAGGAAAACAATGATTTGAATGTTCTTCTTCGTATTGAAGAAAATAAAAATATTACTTCCCGTCTGCTGGGGGAGGCAGTAGGAAAAAAAACACATCACTATTCTTCGGATAGTTACGAAGAAACTGGGCGGGCTTTAGAAGAAGTCCTCCATGAAGATCAGGAGATCTGGATTCCAGTGGATGGTGGTCTTGCATATTCCCTTATAATTATAGAATATTTGCAGGATGCGATCAAAGGAAACGTAATTGAGCTATATCAAACCGCATTAATTGGCCTGCCATGTCTCTGATCTTTCGTTGGCTGTGAATAACGGAATATTTGAACATTTTATTAATTTGTAGAGTTGTCTAACAAAGTTCCTTGAGTTACAAATATTTCGATTATTCCTTGAATTATTGTGGACGTACCGGGTGGCCAACTAAGAATGGACGCCGGCTGTATCTCAGAAACTACTTATTGTATAACTTTGGGAAAAAATTCTAATAAGTAAACCGACCAAGGGAAATCGCTGGAAATTATTTTCAAGTTCGAAAAATGCCCGCTAAGGGGCGTTTCTCTAATAGCCAATCAGAAAACAGGGTTTTTCTCAAAAATATGCAGCTGAACAGGTATTCTAAATATTACTATTGTAATCATCGAGAAATTTGTAATTTTTTTGATGAGTGTTTTGCTCTATCTCATAAAATAAAGTGGTGGGGGAAGGTTAAACTTGCTTTTATTAAAATAAGGATAACTCTGGTTTAGGTTAGGCGATTTAAACAAACTAGGGCTAGTTTAAAAGAGCTTTTCTTCCATAATGATCTCCAGTATAAATTTTGTTTCCACAATTTTTTTCGTGGTAGCTAGAGGGCGCTGTTTGACATCATAACAGATATTGCGCTTTCTTATAAAAAAATTAAATAGGAGGCTATATTTCTCTTTGTACAGTTAAATAGAGCACAACAATTCCAAAATATCAGAGCAACCGCAACTTTATCTTCTTTGAAATTCTCTGATATTTTTGAATCTCTGAAATTGCAACAAATGCATTAATCATTAATTGATATCATACATTCTTTCTTAATTCATCATCATGAATGCAGTTGGTGTGGTTGAGGCAGTGGTGCCGCTTATTTTGCTATGAATGTGTGGAGCTTCTTGGATACCACTTACTCTAGTAGATAGAGACGTTGGAGCGGCATATTTCCATGGCCAGCTAGGTCATCGAATTCAATATGCCTGGGTTTTAATTTATGGGGTCGAATCAAGAACGAACATGGATAAATAACAATTAAATCGTATTAAAATGAAATTAAATATATGTTTTGATATTTTGATGTAACAAAATTACCTCTTTTTGTTTCCTTTTTGTTACTATGATTTTTAGACCATATAATCCTAAGCGGCAGCCTAACATGATTTGTTCTCTTTCTCTGATTTGTTCTCTCATCTCCAGTTAGAGAGAAGATCACCTGCATATTTTTGAGAAAAAAACCCTGTTTTGTGATTGGCTGTTAGAGAAACGCCCCTTAGCGGACATTTTTCGAACTTGAAAATAATTTCCAGCGATTTCTCTTGGTCGATTTACTTATTAGAATTTTTTTCCCAAAGTTATACGATAAGTAGTTTCTGAGATACAGCCGGTGTCTCTATTCACCCGGTACTTATGCGGTATGAGCGAGGCCATGAGAGTGATTGAGTATTGAGTAATGAATAGTAAATAAACCATACCCCGCGACTACTATTCTCAGCACAACTAATTCTTTCGGAGATGATCACTCCAATTTATTATAAATATATTTTGCTGGTATTTTAATTGTAGCTTTCTCTGGGTCGTATTATAAAATTTTAGTATTTTGAAGGTAGAATTTTGCAAATAACATTTAAATGCCTATTCCAAATAAAACAAAATTCTAGACGAAAGTACAAATTTAACGCCTCTTAAAACAACTTTTGCATAAAATCATCAGGGCAGATAATATTTCCAAAAATTTATGTAGGATTTCCTAGGCCCAAAAAAGTATTTAAGCTGGTGCGGCATCTTGTACACTTCGCACTAAAAGCGGATCTAAAAACAACAATGTTCGACTGCAAAGTCTGCTAGTAAACATTTTTAAGCTTAATGTATCACAACACAGTTCATTTAGACCAAAAACTCGCATAATACAAAACTAAAGTATCAACAAATGACAATGTCAGGAAATAAACAATTAAATGGGGGCCAATTTGACATTTTGAGAGAGCTAGAGAGCATTCAGGGTGCACCCACACCATCCCTGAAAAAGCGGAACGGCGTATCGGCGTAACTACCTTGAATTGATTTCTAGCAATTCCACTGGCTGAAATTTTTGACAGGTGAATTTTTCAGCCAATAGAATTACTGGAACTCTATTCAAGGTCGTTACGCCGATACGCCGATCCGCTTTTTCTAGGATAGTGTGACCAGGGCCAGTCAACTGAGATATACGACCTTGAACGATCTGTTTTTGGGGTAGTAATTTCCTGGGGCGCTAGATGGCGTATTTTTATTTTAATTTTTCTAGTTGCCTAACAATTGCGTACAAAATTGTTTTTATGGTTGCCTAAATAGGCCTATTAATTATGTTCTGTCATTGTTCTGTATGTCAAATCAGTTTTCCGTTTCCAGCTTCCTCCTTCCTATTCAGTTGTGTTTTGCAATTGAACGGAGATGTGCGTTTCGCTGTTTTCTGGTTGTTTGGCTGTGTTTTTTTGCAATCTTCATTTTACAATCGTGATTTTGTATTTTTGAATTTTTTTGAACTTTGTTTTGTGTTTGATTTTTAAGATCTTTATTAAAGGTAAGGTTTAAGTTAAAGGTCTTTGATTTATCTAACAATTTTATTTAATAATCCGAGAAAGTGAGGTGAGGTAACCTAACCAAGTCCAAATATTTGTGAATTTTATTTTTTAACAATGTAATATTTACAACGTCATATATTTTTACAAAAAAAAATTGATCAACTCCATATTTTTGTATATAAACTCCACAATGTGATATTACACAATTGTTCAAGTACATATGTAAAAAATACACGTAAATAAAACATTGTTTCTAATGGACGTCACTTTCTCTTGTATTCCAACGATATTTGTTATGTGTTCTTAAATCTGGTACTAAAATAAATATTATACTTTTTAATCTGTTGTTTTATTTGTTTGTAAAATGTTTCGTGGTATAATTTTCTGTAAATTAAAATAAATTATTTATTGTAGGTTTTTATGCACATAAAATGATATAAGCAAACCATTTAACACTTTACAATAGTTTAACCTGGTTTAACCTTTATATATAAATCCTTGTTTTTTACCATTTGACTTGTTTGCCAATGTTGGGACCAATCAGATGACTACACATTATTTTGTAGAAATCTGATTGGCTCTAACTGGCAAACAAGTCAATACGTCTTGCTTAAAAATAAATTGCATCTATTTAAATTTGCCGCCACCTTTGTTACTTTCCTGGGTGGCTGGATGGCGCAACTTCAATATACAGATTACAGATTTCTTTTCAAATTTGAAACCGTTTTGAAACTAAAAAATGCATGGGAGTTAGCGTTCTTCTTTAATGTGTTCTGTGAGTGTGACTGCACCCAGAGCTACCACCTGAATCGTTAGCGGGAAATATAAATTCCAGTTAGTCAGCCCGGCGCCGAATACGTCCATGGTTGGCAAAAATGAATTTAAAAATCGCGCCCTCGATGACGTAACTGGAAGTTTAATTGGTATCGCTTATATGTTGTACGGGTAATGTATAGATACTACAAACCATTTAAAAAACTAAGTTGTTTATATTCCAATTCCATTTACTACAAAATTACGTCTTTCATTAAGTTTCATTAACTGAATTCAAACAATAATTTTAACAAACAATCCAGCTCGTATTGTGAATGGAAATTTCGTAAATCATATTTTTTTATATTCCTATTAATTATTCCAGTTTTCGAAAAAATGCCGGAATCTCTACACAGTCGCCTTGCCTCGCAATTGTATTTGTAATATTAAATAATTAGTCTCGTTTAAATATCCCACTAAGGTCAGGAAGATAACAGTGCTAATTTTAACACCATAGTGTTAAGTGAATACGAGGGGTTTTCACCGATAAACCCTAGATTTCGAATTCGACGAAAAAACAACAATATTTGCGTCTTCTCGCAGATAATTTAACAGGTCTTAAGTCTTTCAAGAGCTAATCACTAGACAAGAACTTAAAAACAATCGTTTTTCCAGAAGAAAAACAAACAGAATCCATTTAGTCTCGCTCTGTATCTAACCTACTCCACATTTCGTGTGAACTATTGTGGCGTGCGGACCCTGTATATGTGGTACGATCGTTTTGGAGCTTGTGCAACATTGTTATATAAAAGATAAACTTCTAAGAATAAACAAAGAAGATTAGGTGGAGGCAGATAGATAGATGTTCGGGCTTTTTACGCAGTTGGACGTGCTAGTGACCAAATGTGCCGCGAATATCTAGTGCTAAAATCATGGATATAGGGAAATTATTTATTGCGGTGCTCTATTGGTGTGCTACTGTAAGGTGAGCGTCTTCAATTTTTATCTTTACTTCATTGAAACACTTAGAAATAATTGATAGATAAAAATGGAAAAATCTTTGAGTAAAAAGGACCCTTCACGCAACGATATCTTAGAGATTTGAACTGTACAGTCCTTCGATTCAGTCCAAATCTCAACGTGTCGTGGCAGTTTCGATAAAGATCTCATGGAAGAGATGAGATCTGCGATCTTTCAACGTGCTGAATATTTTTAACTGCCCAGACTACATATTTTCGGGAACTAGTCTGAAAAGAACGCTATCGATTTGGTCTTATGATTAGTTCAGTGTACCCTCTGTAGGGCCCTTTTAAAACGTATTAGTCGAAAGTGCCCATTTCTCTACTTTGGCGCTCAATTTTTTGCATTTGGTGCACTCCTGAAAAGGGAATGTTTTTTTGGTTTATATTTTTTTGATCCGGGTCTATTATTTGTGTCGTATAAAAATTTAGTAGTATATAGTAAATAAATTTTTAGTTTCTTTTTTGCAATGTCCGGATTTCGTCCGGATTTCAGAGTTCACTTGTCCGGAATTTCCAAAATCAATTATTACATGTATTTGTATTAGAATATGTATTAATTAAATCTTTGAGTTGGATGATCTTGATCAATTATTACAGTTTTACCAATAAATTATTACATGTATTTGTATTAGAATACTTAAAATGTAGACTTGAGAGTTAAAGATTTTATTTCTTATAATCCATGAATTCTATACCAAGTGACTTCATATATTTACTCCTTGTTTTATTGTCGATATCTTATAAAGAATCCTGTAAAAGAAATTCTGGTATGAAAATTCAAAACATATATCTGTTATTCAGTAAATCTTAACTTACCTTAGTAAGTGTTAACAATTACTAATAAAAATTCACATTCACTGATTTGTTAACAACGTCAGTAAAAGTTAAGAATAATTAGTTTTGAAACAAATTTTATTAGCGAATTCTAGCATTCACTGAAACTTTCTAGTAAAATTCCTACTAGTAAAATGCCGTGAAACATTCAGTTTTAAAACCAAGACATTCAAAGCAATCAAATTCGAATTAAAATTAAAATAAATCAGAAAAAAAAGGTTGGAAACCAAAGCAATTAAAACTAATGACGTGGGTTAATTACCGCGACCTTACAGATCTATTGTGTGTTCCCCCTTCTTGAGTTATAACGAGTTATAACTCATCATACAGTCTCAGGGCTTTGACAAAAGCCAGTATCTGAGACGGCTCCATGGACGGCAGTTCTCCATCTCCGACATCAGCCGTACCAAAGTTTATGGCATGAACGGTTATGTTTTATGTCTCGGTGCACTCAGTGATGAGGAGTTCTGGTGTTTTCCCATTTTCCCCACAGAATCTGCATTCCCCGTTGTTTCCCAGCTTCATTTCGTTGACGGGACAGTGTCCTGTTAAAAATCCCGCGACAATCTGAGGATTGTTCTTACTTAAATCAAGGAAAATCTCTTTGATTTTTGTAAATTCTGAGAAACTTTTTTGGCGTTGGAGGATTTCCATTCCAGTTTACTGATGGAATCTTCAAGGTTCTTGAGTTCTGCTTCAAGTTGGTTTCCGTTTGGAAAGCAACTTAGCACGGTTCTTGTCCAGTAAGGGGAGTGTTCGCTCCTTTTCTAGCTAGATCGTTTGCTTTTTCATTGCCTTCTATCCCTTGGTGAGCGGGCACCTAGAGTAGGAGGACTTTATTTTCTTTGTCCAATTTGTTTAGCTTCTCTAGACATTCCTTAACCAACTTTGATTTGATGGTTACTGAGTTGATCGCTTTTAGAGCTGCTTGACTATCGGATAAGATGGCTGTTTCCTCTTTTCGATAGTTCCTATCTAAGATACATTGTACGCATCTTCCGAAAACGTAGATTTCGGCCTGAAGCATGCTGGGGTAGGTGCCCATTGATTCGGGATATTTAGTTTTTGGTCCTAATATTCCTATCCCTGTCTCCTATCCCTGTCCCTGCTTGGTTCTTTTTTACATGCTGAACAAACGTTTCTTTCTTCCAATCCTTTTTATTGCTCATCACAGTGAGGTGTTTCTCAAAGTTGAAGTTTTGGAACTCAAGTATAAAGGCAAATATTTTGATTTTGGTGTTTCTGTTTCAATATCGTTTTAATGTAATTTTAATATGAGTGGATCTGCTTAAATACAGAGGTGATTCAACATCTTAATGGTTTTATTTGTTCCAACCTCCACCAACTCTTTCTCTGTTGTACAATAGAATGACTTCTTACACTGACACTAAAGATTGTCAGTGTAAGAAGTCATTCTATTGTACAACAGAGAAAGAGTTGGTGGAGGTTGGAACAAATAAAACCATTAAGATGTCGAATCACCTCTGTATTTAAGCAGATCCACTGATATTAAAATTGTGTTAGTGTCACTATAGCGACTGCTAAAAGTTACAAGTAAATGTCGACAAATTTCTTTAAAATACGACATTCACTGGCCCAGTGCATAATTGCTAGCACTTTCTAGTTATTGTTACTAATATTTTCTGGATTTCCGACTGTAACTGTAATATCTGTTGAATGAGCTAAAATAAATTTAGTTAAATTTTTTGGTATAATTGGAATGATGTGGTTTGTTTTGAATTTCGTATACAAAAAATATAAATTTTTCTATGATAATTGCTCTTTTAGTGTATATCATGATGATGACTATGAAAATTGTAAGGTCAACATTGTATTTCATAGCAATATTTTTACTATGATAAGGATTTTCTACAATTTCCGCATCGCATATCATTCTTGAATAAATTCTAGTGATAGTTTTTAATATCTTTTAGTAAATAATAGAAATTTAAATAATCCTAAGATACCCCTGCTACCACAAATATAAGATAAATTTAAATGAATAAACACAATATACAGGTTGAGTCTTAAATAAGTGGATATATTTTCTGGGCTGGTAGATCTCAATAAAAGAAACATATTTTCTCTTAACAGTTTTTCAAATAAGTCCAAAATAACAGAGATATTTTACTTTGAAAATTTCCAAAAAAATGATTTTTCGCTTAAACTTTTCTGGGTTTTGTTTCTTGCAAATTTAATCTACTAACTATGTTGCAATATTATGACGATATTATGTTTTATAACTAAAAATTTAACAAAAAAACTATTTTTTTCTTAAAAATTCCAAATTTTCAAATTTCTTTTTGCGAAAAAAACCCATAGGTATGTTTCTGGGGTCGAAATATACTAGCCCTAAAAATATTTGCACTTATTTAAGACTCACCCTGTATAATTTCGAATCACATAAATTTCAAAAAAAATACGAAAGTTTTTGTATACACAAATGTTAACATTAAACAATATGTGTTTACATTAAACAAAATATTAGCAAATCTTGACCTGATATACCGGGTGCGTCTCAAAAGTGGTTTACCCTATAACTTTTTTATTTTTCTAGATAAAAAATCGCGATTTGGTATGTTTTCGGTCACTTCCTGTTTCACCGGAAATGACTACAACTTTTGATTTTTAAATGGTACCCTCGGTATTTTGTTATTTTATCCGATAAAAAATTACACACTGAATAGAATGACATATCATATGTCAACTTTTGACATTTTCGAATATGGTTTATTTGAAATTGACATGCGGTTCATAACGACAATTTGACTCGAAATACTAAGTGTGTGGTATCAAATTATTCGTAAAAAAATGCTTTTTTCAAAATATGCTAACGAACCACTCTCGTTCCATTTGAAAAAATTGAGATATGATTAAAAATACGATTTGGGCATCTTTTAACCGACCAGGACAAGACCTTTAAAACATTAGACTATCAAATCTATTTTTTCAAGGCTCCTTGATTAAAAATTAGTGTTTTAGCACAGCCATGGCACTCTAGATTGAAATATAAAATACAATTTTGTTTTAAGAAAAAATGTCAAAAGTTGACATATAGGTAATATGTCATTCTATTCAGAAAGTCATTTTCTATCCAATAATGTAAAAAAATACCGAGGGTGTCATTTAAAAATCAAAAGTTGTTGTCATTTCTGGTCGTGAAACAGGAAGTGATCGAAAAGAATTGAATACGTCAATCAATCCTAATTTGTGTCGTATACTAACATACCAAATCTCGTTTTTTTATCTGAAAAAATAAAAAAGTTATAGGGGTGAGCCGCTTTTGAGACGCACCCTGTATTTTGACTTTCTTTAAAAACAATAAATTGTTAATTCTCAATAAGTGATTGTAATCCTAAATATATATTTTCCAAAAAAATAGCTAAATATTGATGCATGAAACTCAAATTTAATGTAATATATTTAAAGTTAACTAAGTATTAAAGACCACTGCTTTAATAATTTTTCAAACCCACTCCAAGACATTGATAACTGTTTCCACCTTCAGCGAAAAGTCAAATCTTTTATCTCAAAATATTTGACCTCCCATGATTAAAATAAAACCCAACTACAAATTCAATTAACTAAAATACACCATATAAAAACACAGATTTTTATATTTGGTTTATCAGCAAACTGTGTTAAAATATTATCAATTTAATAATTACTCTTGGGACATGATTGACACATTAAATATAACAAGGTCATCACTATTTTAACATTTTTATCTTTTGTTATAGGACTTCTTCATCCTCAAAGAGGGAGCTCCAACATCTCAACAGAATGAGCGAAGATCTACAGGACGTACCTTTCGGAGGATATCATGTGGTATCACTCAATGTGGCGTATAATAACATCACTTATCTAAGCTCCTACATTTTTTTCTTAAACAAATATAAGAATCTCAACTTGATCGAGCTGGGGCACAACAAAATGTCAGAAATTCACGTAGATGCTTTCAGAGAAATGAGATCGCTGGAATGCGTAGATCTTTCTTCAAATAATTTGACAGAATTGGAAGCAAATACTTTTAGACATAATACTAGACTTCACAAGTTAGATGTGACGTCGAATCAGTTATCTTTTGATCCAGAAAAACCTTTTTTAAGGAGTTACTCCTTGGAGGTTCTGGTTATGTCACAAAACCACATTACTCACATCTTTGACATAACTTTTGCGAGAATACAAAATTTGAGGCAGTTACTTCTAGATGACAATCCCATCTACTACATGTCGAGGAATTGTTTTGCTTATTCCACGCGACTACAGTACATAAGTTTGGCGAGATCAGGAGTGCATACTATTGGAGAGGATATGTTTAGGACACCTCCTAGACTGGTAGATTTATCAGGGACACCTTTGGCTCAGAAGTTTAATCCTCCATTGACAAGGGTGAGGAGTACGCAGCTCATAAAGCTTATTAATATCGAAAAGTTTGATGGGATGATGGAAAGTGATTCATGATAGAGCAAGTGTATTGTTTTAAGTTTTAAGTGCGTGAACGCTTGGATGAGACATAAGTTAACGTATGTTGTGAGTGTAGCTTTAAAAAAATCCTTTTAGTAGCATTCTCTGTATTATAAATGAGATACGGTCAAAAATTGAGATGATATAAACATACAGGGTGTCCCAGGGCTGAGCGTGCATTAGAAGTTTCAAGAGAAGTACAATATCTAGATCGGAGATTTTTTGCACATCATTGTTTCACAATGAGATCTATCTATATTTTCAATATGGCGGCATTTCCGGAAATACTGGAAGCTGGACATTAACGAATTGGAAAACCTTTTTACTAGTGAAATAAAAAACGTGGGTTTCTATTTGAAAAAAAAATATTTATTATAATTTTTTAATCGCTACAAATGACATCTACCGCCATTATTATATGACATATGAACACTTTAATTTTTGAAATAGATAGCCACATGTTTTCTCTTTATGTCACAGTGGCTGTGGTAATCACTAAGTTAGACTTTTGGGCTATACACATTTTTTTGACAGGTAGTTTTTTTCCTCCAAAAATTTGAAATATTTTTTTTTCTTAAAAACGGTTAATGTTAGGTATAGAGTGTGTAACATCAACATTCATAGAACTTTACAGATAATTTAAGTATGTAATAAAAAATGGGGGCACCCATTTAAAATAAGAAAGTTGCTGTTAACTTCCTGTATTTCCGGAAGTGCCGCCAGATTGAAAATATTTTTAATCGATAGATCTCGTTGTAAAAAAATGATGTGCAAAAATTCTCCGATCAAGATATTGTGGTTCTCTAGAAATTTCTAATGCACGCTCAGCCTGGGGACACTGTATACATATGTTGGAGGCCTATATCCACAAAGTTACGCGGAAAAGTTTTGATTGCATTGATTTCAACTTCTATGCGGAGGGTGTTAATCTTTTGTTGTTATATTATACCAAAAAAAGATTAACCCCCTCCGCAAAGAAGTTATATAAAGACTATTTATAACCATGAAGTTGCACGCATCTGGCAAGTTCAGTATGGACAAATCGCCATATGTCTAATTATTTCGGACATAGGCCGTATTCGGTATCTGCCTCCAACATATATATTGGATCAAAACTCATCAACGTGTATGGTTGTCTCTATTATACATGTCTATGGTTCCATACATGCAAGCGTTTAACACGCAAAAACTGCAACATTTTTATTAGTGCCACTAACTCCCTGCGTGAGTAATTTCATTATTAATGTGTATTTGTAATAATTAGTGATATTACATCAGTTGTTATTGCAGACTTTTAGTTGATATATTGCATTCGTCTTCAAAGATTTCTTGCTTGTCTGTTAAAGCCCTTGAAATATATCTTTGCTTTCAAAACAGATGCAACAAGAACCAATTATTTTAATTTAATAGACCGGGTATACAGGGTGATCTGTAGTATGTCGACTATATTTAGAAGCTCAGAAAACTAATTATAAACGGCCTTATAGTTCGTTCTTGTCTAAAAAACAAAAATTAAGTATACAATCACAGATGCGTGACTTGGTTTATGTGTCAAATTTGACATTTATTAGCTACTGGAAATGAGGATGTCTTGTTTAGTTCTACATTTTTTATTTTCCAGTCAAATTACTTGTGGAATAAATTAGTGGTTTCAATTACACTTTATACTTTTTAGTTTACGAGCATTCACAAGGGTTGAAAAAATACAATTAAAATTAATAGAATATCCTAGCAACAGCTTGCGTTAGTTAGTTGTATCCATGATACAGAGAAAACAAGGTATGATATTGCGCAGGTTTGGTCACTACGTGGCAAGCTCCGCGCGCCAATTTCAAATCGTCAAACTGATGACACATAATAATGTGAAAATTGCTTTTCAAATATCAAAAATGTCAAGCTCAATGATTTGACATAACTTTTGAGGTTATGTCCTAATTCTTCCCTATTTTAGATCTTTGAATAAGAAGACTAAGGAAGGAGCATAATGCTATCCATGTATTCATGCATGGTGGGCGGAAAAGCCACCATAAAAGCTCTCTAGGGTGGGGATCCTTGACAGTGCTGTTTGACGATTCATTTGACACATTTGAATTTGATTTGAAATTTTGTGGATTTGTCAGTCTTTACGGAGCTTATTTTATGTTATTTATTATTTATTCTACTACTGATAGTTGTATAAAGGTAGTAAATCTAGATGGAAATTGTGGCAGAACTTAAATTAACAGTGACACTATCGCGATTTATCGAAAAAGACTCTAAAATAGTTGGTTGTGTAGCGTGCGGTAGATCTCGGCAAAAATTCAGTGAAATAATGGAACAACTTTTCGCTAGTAAGTGACTATATAATATACTTAATAACTACTAATGAAATTCACTTAAATTAACTAAATTATATATTTTTCTTGCATTTTAGCTTTTATTTATTACTTGTCAAAGATTAGATGTCAAAGAATTTAGATACGTTAATTTGACTTACCTGCTTCAGTAGCGTATCGGATGTTTGTGGTAATAAATACTTATTATAACTTATCTATTTTTATTAGAATTATATATTTTTATAACAATCTTAATAACTACCAACATTTATTCACAACGTAAAATAAAACAACAAATTATTGAGTCTACCCCACGTCTACCCTACATCATAGTTTTACATTTTTTAAATAAAATTAGAACGACACTGATAAACCGGAATTTAAGTCGGCCATATTTAAGGCCCATCGCGGTGTACCTAAGATTTTTGATATGCTCCTTCCTTAGTCTTCTTATTCAAAGTTTTAGATCTTTTTTTATTAGTGGCAATTGAACAATATGGATATTTTTTTGTATGGCGTATAACGTCACAAGTGGTATGCATAAACTGAACGAAATTGGAGCCGCTATCGATCATACCGTTTTCTTTGTATCATTAGTTGTATCCATAGAGAAAGCCTAATGTTAACTTATAAAACAATCAACTTTTGATTTCTAACCACAATTTCTCTTGACGGAAGATAATCAAGGCCAAAATTACATTTCTCCCAAGTTTTAAAGTATAATTAGTGGAAAAGTTAAAACTTTGATACTTTTTCTACTAATTGAAAATGTCTACCACTAATTTTAACGTTCTGAATGCTTATACATTGAAATTAAAGGAACAAACTTCTACGCTAATTGAAACCACTAATTTATTCCACTAATTGCCAGGTTCTGAATGAAGCTTTAGTATAATTAAAACCACTAATTTCCAGGTTCTGAATGAAGCTAAACACTTATTTAGCATTTTTATGAAACCAATCACTCTGAATAAAACATTATGGCCATTATTTCTAAAATTGTATAGTAAATTTTCTCTACATACCAAAGACCACCCTATTTAATATAGTGTAAAAATATAAACCAAGGTATCTCTTAAATATTTTCTTACAACTAAAATAAATTGTGGCTTAAATAGTTTGATTATAGTACAAAAATATATAAATTATACAGGGTGTCCCAGAAATAAGTGCAAGTATTTTAACTGGTAGTATATTTCGGCCTCAGAAACACGCCTATTAGGTATTTTTTGCGAAAAAAAATTTTTTTGAAAATTTGGAATTTTTTGAAAAAAAAAATTGTAATGAATTTGAAAAATAGTAAAGAGAAAAAATGTTTCTTTTGACCAGATCTACACCTCTTAAAATACTTGCTCTCATTTTTGGGACACCCTGTATAACAAAACCAAATGTCTTTTATGAGAATGCTATTTTGGATTTAGACTGATTCGTATTAGATTATAATGTAAGAACTGAGTAGAATTTAGCCATAAAAGTATTATTTTTTTTATATTGTGTGAATGATGTGATGTAAATATTTGTATTATAAGTTATTAGTTGTATATTATTTTTATATTTGAATGTCAATGTAAATACTTAATCAGACATTTTTTATGCAATCAAATAAATTAGCAAGGCTGCTACATTTCCTAAATCATTTTTGCAGTGCTCGGTAAAATTGATAAATGCTCAATCGGTACTTTCTAATTATTATGTTTATATTTAATCGTATTTCGATATGTAGTCTGGCTTGCTTAATATTCCGAGGACGATTTTGTATGGTAACATCCTTTTTTGCTATGTATGCAAATTTATCGATTTCCTGTTGAAGTTCCTCGAATATTATTTAAAACAAATTATTATTTAACACTGTTTGGTACCCATTTGCCATTACCTGTGGTATAAAGGTAGCTACATACATACAGTTATTCCTCAAGGTGAAACTGCGCAGTCCAGCCCTTAGTAATTTTGTTTAAATGCGGATGACCGACATACGGACTAAGATCATATTTATGTCAGTAAAATTCGTAACTAGATCCGAGTATACAGGGTTGCAGTTGGGGGTGGAAGCTTTGGTATTACAACAGTAAACTAAAACACTAATTCACCACAATTTACCAAAACAATTTAATTTTAAACATTGGACGCGCGTTTTGCTAACCATGTTAGCAGCATCAACAGATGATTAAAACTATATTATGAGGTAGAGAAAATTGCAAAACAAAAATGGCTTGATTTGGAAATTATGAAATTGCAGCCTACGGACTTAACTAGTCACTTTTAAAAGCAAGTTACTCCTTTATTTTAAATGGAACACCCAGTATATTATTCCGGTGTTCAATGGGGAATTTATATATCTTCAAAATATTATTAAGGTTGCCTACCCCTCAGACAAAGATTTAACTAGATATTTTAATTTTTATGATTTTGCGTCAGTAGATCTTTATTATTTGAAAAAATCTAGGGCTGTGATATACCTTTGGTTAATTTAACAAGCATTAAAGAATGTAGAGTAAAATACTCAACGGTAATAAAACGATACACGTTTAAAATATATTTTAATTATTACAGAATTAAAACTAGATATAAACCTATAATTATGTGACAATGTTTCCCGGGTCCTATGGCCCCCCCCCTGTATCCGCCACTACATACCAGACTAGAATACGTTTTTTAAGTTTGTTTTAGGACTTATTTAAGTTTCGAAAGTATTGTTTTTAGATTTGTAAGGTATACAGGGTGTTCGCAAAGTAATAACGAGTTTCCATATATTACACATAATATTTATTACTATTAAAAATTGAAGAAAATATGGATATAGTGTTATAATATGCAGTAGAAATTTGCATTTAGTTATTGAACATCTCTGTACGTTATAAATTGAATTTCCTTATCATAGGTCAAGTTTATTCATCATTAGTTCACGATTCTCGTCATTGATAATTTATTTAAAAAACAGAATTCTACTATCGTCATAATTAAAATTTATTTAATCAACTTTAAATTATTTTTTTGGTTTACAGAGCTGTTCCTTAAAAACGACAATACTGTTATGTCTATAGAAAACATGATAGTGTTGAAGT